GAGTTTAATCTCTAGCATCACAAAACAAACAAAAAAACCAAATGAGCAGGGTGTGGTGGCCAGGCAAACAATCCTAGCATTTGGCAGGAAAGATGAGGTGCAGATTTTTCTACTAAGTAGAGAACAAACAGGAGGAGGAAGCTCTTGTTGCCTGAGAATGTAGGGCATCAAAAATAGCTTCTACTGTGTGTGCATGCTATGTTTAGGTGTGTTTCCCCTTCCCCTTTTCAATGCTGAGGAGAGAACCAGGGCCTTGCAAGAATGAGGCAGGTGCACCCCAGCCCCTCACTGGGAAATTCTAGGCAGGTGCTCTACCACTGAGCCACACCCCAGCTCCTCACTGGGGGATTCTAGGCAGGTGTTCTACCACTGAGCCACACCCCAGTCCCTCATTGGGGGATTCTAGGCAGGTGTTCTACCACTGAGCCACACCCCAGTCCCTCATTGGGGGATTCTAGGCAGGTGTTCTACCACTGAGCCACACCCCAGTCCCTCATTGGGGGATTCTAGGCAGGTGCTCTACCACTGAGCCACACCCCCTACTCCTTGTTGTTGGGTTTGCTGTTACTGCTGGAGTTTTGGGCTTTTTTTGTTGAGATGGGGGTCTCACTGTGTAGCTCTGGCTGGTCTTAAATTCAACAGAGATCTACCTGCCTCTGCCCCCCCAGTTGCTGGGATCAAAAGTGTTTGCCACCGTACCTGGCATTTAGTTTCGTTTGAGTCAGCCTGTCACACGAGGCTAGCCAGGTCTGGCATGCCAGTGGTCGGTTCTCCTGCCTCTCGCTCCTTCCTGCTGCTCCCTCTCAGATAGGGTTACTCCAGGCCCCAGGACTTCAGGAAGCCCTTCACTAGTCCCACCAGTTATTGCCAAGCCCTGGTAAAAATCTCCAGAGTGGTCCATTTGTGGTCCATGTGGCTTCTTCAGGGCCTTCCACTCAATAGCTTTGCAGACACACACACACACACACATACACACACACACACACACACACGCACACACACACACACAAAGAAAGCTTGAAATGCTGGAGGAATGAATATGAATCAGAGGTTAATAGCACTTGCTGACCCTCCAGGGAGGACCCTCGTTCAGTTTCCAGCTCCCACATGGCAGCTCACATCCAATCCACCCGGAACTCCAGCTCCAGGGGATTCAGTGCCTGCTTCTGGCCTCCAAGGGCACCTGTACTCACCTGCCATATACACAGACACACATGAATAGAAATAGAGCCTAGCAGGATTTGGTGGCGCACACCTTTAATCCCAGAACTTGGGGGACAGAGGCAGGTGGATCTCTGTGAGTTCAAGGCCAGCCTGGTCTACAAAGCAAGTAAGTTCCAGGACAGCCAAGGGACAGAGAAACCCCTGTCTCAAAAAAAAAAAAAAAAAGAAAGAAAGAAAGAAAGAAAGAAAGAAAGAAAGAAAGAAAACAAAGGAACTCATAAGCTTGGTTCTGGACAGGACCCACAGGCCATCAATGAAAATGAAAACATATCATCAATTCCAAGCCACTCCCTCATTCACTTACTAGTCAGCTGCTTATGTCTATCCTCCCCTGCCAGCAGGTAAGATCCAGGCGGGCAGAAGCCTGGTGTTTAGTTTCTGTAAATAATCCTTCATAACTGGGTCTGAAAATGCACACAGGAAATCCTGCCTACTCTGTCGACTGAGGCACAAGGATCAAGAATCTAGGCTGCCTGGGACAACAGAGTGCTTTCAGTGTCAGCCTGGGCAACTTAGACCTGACTCAAAATGTAATGCTGGGTGAGGAATGTAGCTCAGGGGTAGATTGCTTGCCTAGAATCCCCAAAGAAGGGTTTAGGAGTGTGACTCAGATGTAGAGCACCTGCCTAGAATCCCCCAGTGAGGGGCTGGGGTGTGGCTCAGTGGTAGAGCACCTGCCTAGAATCCCCCAGTGAGGGGCTGGGGTGAGGCTCAGTGGTAGAGCACCTGCCTAGAATCCCCCAGTGAGGGGCTGGGGTGTGGCTCAGTGGTAGAGCACCTGCCTAGAATCCCCCAGTGAGGGGCTGGGGTGTGGCTCAGTGGTAGAGCACCTGCCTAGAATTCCCCAGTGAGGGGCTGGGGTGTGGCTCAGTGGTAGAGCACCTGCCTAGCATGGAGAAAGCCCTGGGTCTAGGCACTGCAGAAAGGAAGGCAGGAAAACAGGAAGACAGGAAGGGAAGGAGGGAAAAAGCCAGGCAGAAAGAAACAAGGGCTGTGTGCTGTACACCTAGGTGTCTGGAATATGGCAGGGTGGGGTCCAGAGAGGCAGCGCTGCTGTGAGCACAGACACCCTTATGGCTGCTAGTGTTCTCAGTAGCTTCTCCAGCCAGCCAGGAGCAGTGGGGTGTGCCAGCAGAGGGAAGATGGGGGGGAAGGCGGGAAGGAAGGTGGAACGAGCTCTGTGGGGAGCGTTTAGGAAGCCTTCAAACATCCCAGCCCTGCTGATTAAGCCCTGGTATAAAAAGAACATTGAATAATTAAAGAGTTCAAAACTAACCACAGGCTTGGCTGCTCTTGGCTCTGCCCCCCTCCTGCCCCCCAGGGGATGCGGCCGATCACAGCGGGTGGTGCCCTTCTCAGTCCTGGGTTGATCCAGATCTCAGGAGACAGAGCAGCCGGCTTCTAGGCTGGCCGGGGTGAGGCACGTGTGAAGAGGACCAGGAAGAGCTGGGAGGCGGTTGGGATGGCCAGGTGTTTGTTGTGCGAGTGTGAAGCCCTGGGTTGGGGTCCCTGGGATGCTGGACTTGGTGGCACCTGCTTAAAACCTGTGCTGGGGAAGCGTGGCAGGCAGATCCGAGGGGCTCCCTACGCAGTCACCTTAGCTGAGTCAGGGAGTCCCAACGAAGAATCTCTAGGTGGCAGGAGAGAGCATTACCCGTGCTAGGGGCAATAGAAAGAAGCCTCTGCACCTGTACACAGGGAGGGGTAGCACGACCTGAGTCACTCGGGGCTGGGGCCATACAGAGCTTTGATCCCTGGACTCCTCGGGTTTTGTTCTTGTCACAGCTGACTCACTGCTGTCTACCAGGGAGGCTCATGGTCAGCCTGGCTAGTTTCTCTCCGTGTCTCAGTGTGTCATAGAGGCGAGAGCTTTTCTCTTCACAGACTCACGGCATCATGTGTGTGACCCGGCAGGGTGCTGGTCCTATCATTCTCCCAGAGGAAGCAGTGTGGTGGATCCCAAGCGTGTCCCTGCTCAGCCCACCCGACACAGGCCTGCCTGCCTTCACGGCTAGGGAGTTGACTCAGGAGGTCTGGGCGGGTCCCGGCTTGGACACGCTCTTCCCCCAGGGAAGCCCTGTCTTCCGTTGTCTGAATGCCATACTACCCACCCACAGGTCTTCCACTAACCCAGTGCCTGTCCCAGTTACTCACAGATGGTCTGGGTCTGGTAATAGAGGCCTGTGAACCCAGCTACTGGGGAGCTGAGGCAGGGGGATTAAAAGTTCAAGGCTTACTTAGGGCATAGGGTAAGTTTAAGACTAGCCTGGGTAATTCAGTGGAACTCTGCCTCAATTCATAAACGGGCCCGGAAGATGGCTCGGTGGTCAAGGGGATGTACTGCTCTTTCAGAGGAGCTGAGCTTTGTCATGGTTAGCTATGTGTGTGCACAGGGCCGTGCTCACACACAATGCCCGTGAAGAGGGGATTGCTTAGGGCTGGAGTTACAGGTAGTTGTGAGCTGTCTGGCATGGGTGTTGCTAACTCTTATATTTTTGGTTGTGAGCCTAGCCTTTAACAGTTGAGCCATCTCTCCAGCCCGGGTGTTACTAACTCTAAGAACAGTACCTGCTCTAACCACTGAGCCACCTTTCAGCACCGCCCCCCAAAAGTTTGAGGCCAGCCTGGTCTACAGAACGAATTCCAGGACAGCCTCCAAAACAATATACAGAAACCCTGTCTCGAAAAACAAAAGAAAAAAGAAGGAAGGGAGGAAAGAAGGGAGGAAGGAAGAAGGAAGGGAGGAAGGAGGAAGAGAGGAGGGAGGAAGGAAGGAAGGGTTGGGGCTGTGCTCAATGGTACAGCTTCCTAGAAGCCTTTAGCAGAAAACCCGAGAGCATGCCACAGCAGGCTGAAGGCACATCTTGGTTAGAGAAGCCTAGGACGTCCCATCAGCTCTAAGAACCTCAGAACCTTGTTTTTTTTGTTTTTCATCTATTTTAGTAATTTTGGTTTTTTGAGATAGGCTTCTCTGTATATCCCAGGTTGTCTTGGAACTCACTGTGTAGACCAGGCTGGTTTCAAACTCAGCGATCACCTGCCACTGCCTCCCCAAGCCCCACAGCCCTGCCATCACCGCCGGACAACCTAGGTTTTCTCGTTCTGATCTGGTGGCTGAGTAGGGAGATAAGGTCGCTTCCTGTTTTAAACAGGCTACTGGCCCAGTGCCTAGCCTGTACCACCGGTTCTTAGAAAGGTTTGCCCACACTTTGCCTGGAGAGACTGCAGGGTTAGGCAAAAAAGAGCCAGTCCATCAGATTAGAGGGGCTTCTAGGATTCCATGGCCGTGTGGGGCTTAAGCACTGATCGTCTCTCAAAGCCAAAGCAAATGGAAGCCTTCAAAGACCAGGCCACCTGCGATGGAGGAGGAGAGGGCTGAGTGAGAGATGGGCCTTACTATGAGGCCTGATGGGCCTCCTTGTGCTGTGAGGAAGTGGCCTAATGGCCAGATAGACCGGTGATGCCCATGGCCAAGGTCACGTGCAAACATAGGGCACTGTTAGGGAAGGGGCCAAGGGTCTTGCCGCTGCTTAACAACACCCTAGCCCCTCGAAGAGGGATTCTGGGCTGGTGCTCTAACCCCCCCCCCACCCGCACCTTATATGGAGGTTTGAAAAACCAGCTGCCTAGAAACTGAAATCTTGTGCCAATTGGAGGGAAAGTAACTTAACAGCTGTCCACTGAGTCACTGCTCTACATTCTCGTTCCTGTCCTCCCCCCCCACCGCCTCCCTCCATCTGAAATCCTCCCCTCCCCCTCCTCCCGTTTGCTCTGCCGTCCTGTCTGAGCCCTGGGACTCCAGTCAGGAGTGTCTTTTTTTATTCCTTGGAAACACAGCTACCTCCACCCCAGCTCAGCACTTGCCTGGCTCGTATAGCCAGGTTGGGCAGCCAGGCCTCTCATTACCTGGCCTCGGGCCTTGGGGGGGTGGATGGCCCAGCCATGCAGCCTGCCAGGACGAGGGAGGCTGGGATCCCCGTGCTAGGTAAGTACGCCATCACTAGCTACACCCTGGCCCTTTGCTCTGCTTTCGTGTGTGTGTGTGTGTTCACGCATATACATGTGTAAGTATGTACGCACGCGTGTAGATTGACCAGGGGCTGCTCTGGTGTCATTCCTCAGAGCCTGTGGCTTGCTTTCTGTGGGAGGTTGGGTGGGGTTCAAGACTGGTTCTCTCTGTGTATCTCTGGCTGTCCTAGACCAGGCTGGCCTTGAACTCACAGAGATCCACCTGCCTCCGTGTCCTGAGTGCTGGGATCAAAGGCGCGCGCCGCCACCACTGCCGAGCAACCATCCTTGACTTTTTATGTGGATTCTGGGGACTGAATTCTTCCCACTTTACCCACAGTCCACCCCTTACCTGTGTTCCAGGCTCAGCAGAAATGAAGACGTTCTAAAGAGACACCCTGGCCTCTCCATCTGATCATCAGACCGTTGAAGGTGGATCCCAAAGAGATGGGAATCTCATGCCAGGAGAAGGAAGAGGTCCCAGCCAGAGGAGGAAGTTGCCAACCTGAACAGAATTTCGCACAGTTCTAACTGCTTGTCTAACAACCTTGCAGGAAGAGAATGGAGCCCAGGAAAAGATGGGCCACTGTGGGAGGGACTAGACCTTGACCATGGCTGCTTAGATGTGCATATCCTTAGCCATCTATTTAAGTTTTATTCATTTCAGGACCCTAAAGACTGGTTTGGGGATGGTTTAAATCTCTGCCCCTCTTCCCAGTGGAGCCACGATAAATAAGCCTTCTCTATCTACTTGCCATTATTAATTTGACTCTGTAGATTGTCTAATTGAAGACCAGTGGCTGAACCTGGCTTGGGGCAGATTCACGAATCCTTCTTATTCGGACACAGTGTCACAGGCAGCTTTTGAATTCACCCCGTGGCCTCCGCTGGCCTAGAACTCCAGGTCTTTCTGCCTCAGCTCCTACTTCTGAGACCCAGAACTAGAACTGTGACTTTCCAGAGGCTTGGCACCCCCCAAACCACACAGCCCATCAGTCAGAAGGACGCTGCACCCCTTTAATACAGTTCCTTATGTTGAGGTGACCCCAATCATAAGATTATTTTTGTTGTTACTTCAAACTGTCATTTTGCTACTGTTATGAAACTTTTTTTTTTTTTTTGGTTTTTACGAGACAGGGTTTCTCTGTTTTGGAGGCTGTCGGTCCAGCCTGGCCTCAAACTCACAGAGATCCGCCTGCCTCTGCCTCCCAAGTGCTGGGATTAAAGGCGTGCGCCACCACCGCCCGGCTACTGTTATGAATCTTGATGTAAGTTCTGATATGCAGGATATCTGATATGCATCCCCTGTGAAAGGTCACTCTACCCCCCAGGGGTCACGACCCACAGGTTGAGAACCACTCATTTAAAGGTTTGTCTAGGTCTGGTTCCTGAAGCTTATGGAGACAGAGTAATTGTCTATTCCCAGATGAAGAAATCGGTTGAGAGTTTTTTCCTGTTGCCCAACATCTTTTCCTGGTAGCAACAGAGTTTGGACCCCACTCAGGGACAGCAGGGACATTTCACTAGGAAGATACCATGTTCTCCCATAGATTCTGAAAGTCCCCAGCCCAGGGCTACCGGCCTGTGTCTTGGAAGGAGTGGCCTGTTTCCTGTAACTGTCCACATGACCTTCCTTCAAGATCATTCCATCAGATGAATCTGAAATGAGCCTGCAAGGTTTACACTCCCAGAGGAGATGCATTTTAGGTTTTGTAAAACCTTTAATGGACTAGTTACTTAAAAAAAAAAAAGTAACTGGGGACCGGAGAGACGGCTCAGTGGTTAAAAGCACTCACTGTTCTTGCTGAGGACCCATGTTCAGTTCCCAGCACCCACAACCATTTCTAACTCCAGTTCCAGGGTTCCTGACACCTTCTTCTGGCCTCCATGGATACCAAGCATGTATGAACAGCTATAGACATGCAGGCAAAACACTCATACACATGTTGCAGAAGCATGACCTGAGTTTGAGTTCTATTTGTTTGTTGGTTTTACAAACCAAGGTTTCTTTCTCTGTGTAGCCCTGACTGTCCTGTAGACCAGGATGGCCTGGAACTCACAGAGATTCCCCTGCCTCTGCCTTCCAAGCACTGAGATTAAAGGTGTGTGCCACCAATGCCTGTTTCTGAGTTTGGTTCTTTTTTTTTTTTTTTTTCCGAGGCAGGGTTTCTCTGTGGCTTTGGAGGCTGTCCTGGAATTAGCTCTGTAGACCAGGCTGGTCTCGAACTCACAGAGATCCACCTGCCTCTGCCTCCCGAGTGCTGGGATTAAAGGCGTGCGCCACCAACGCCCGGCAAGACTGAGTTTGGTTCTTAACCAGCCCTCATGTTAAAAACAAGACATGCAGAGGGAGGTTGGAGACAGGAGGGCCCTGGAAGCTAGTCTCAGCCAGCTAGCTCCTCGTTCAGTGAGAGACACTGACTAAAAAAAAAAAAAAAAATGGAGAGGGGCTGGGTGTGGTGGGGCACACCTTTAATGCCAGCTCTCAGGAGGCAGAGGCAGGCGGATCTCTGTGAGTTCAAGACCAGCCTGGTCTACAAGAGCTAGTTCTAGGACAGCTTCCAAAGCCACAGAGAAACCCTGTCTTGAAAAACAAAAACAAAAAACAAAAAACCCCAAACAAATAAACAAACAAACGTGGAGAGGGACTGGCTGGATGGGTAAAGGGGCAAAGGAGCTTGCTGCAAACCAGTCAGCCTGACTTCAATTCCTGGGACCCGTGTGGTAGAAGGAGAGAATTGCAAGTCATCCTCTAACCCCACACGCACCATGTGACATGTGTGCACCATGTGACATGTGTGACCACCCCCCAAATAAATAAGTGCAACTTAAATAACCAGGTGGAAGTGACTGAGGACATCTGACACCAACCCCTGGCTTCCACATGTGCACGCATGTGCATTGCGTGTTCACGTACACGGATTCATGCAAACACATACATATGCCACACAGGTATGTTTCTACCTCTATTCCTATACACCCGGAGCAGTCTTGGTCCCACATACCTGTAATTCCAGTACTTGGGAGGTGGAGGCAGGAGGATTGTGAGTTCAAGGTCACTCTGCCACATGGCAAGTTTGACTCTAACCTGAGCTGCACGGGAAGACTCTGTCTCAAACAAAAACTAAGGAAAAGAAGAAAATGCTTTTGTTTGTCCCCAGACACTGACTCTTCACTGAAACACAGAAAAGCTTGGCATCTCCTCCTTCATTTTAGGTCCCTCTCCTTGGCTGTGGGGTCGGTTGCTACCTCTGCTTGTAGGCATGTCAATCATTCAAGGAATGTCCTTCTCGAGGCCAGAGACACCGAAACTACCTTAACCTCAGGGTAGAAGTACCTGAGATAAGAGTAATAGGCATCCCACTGTGGTCGACTTTTACAATATTCTGTTCCAGGCTCCCCCAAAGCACCCGAAGGTATCCAGTCATTGCCCCAAAACTGCAGTCCCCTTGGATTCCAGGAGCGACAGAGCCTCTCCAGTCACATCCAGTCCCCTAAGGAAGGGATTGTATGCCATGTCCAGACTGTACCCTGGGCAAAGCAATCATCTAAGTGACTTTGTGGGGCTGGCAAGATGGCTCGGTGGGGAAAGGTGCTTGCTGGCGAGCCTGAGGACTTGAGTTCGATACCTGGGGTCCACCTGGTGGAAGGAGAGAACTGACTCTGTTAGGAATCAAGCACGAGGGGACCTTGGCGGACTCCATGGCAGGCAAGGTGACCGAGGCCGGGGGACAAACAAGCCAGGCAGACGGAGCTTAAGTGAGAAGTTTTATTAGAAAGGGAGGGGAAGGAAAGAGAACGGAGGTAAAGAGACAGAGAGAGGACGGAAGAGAAGAGGGAGACAGGAAAAGTCCTGCCTGCCCCAGGGGAACAGCAGAAAGAGGGGAGAGGGCAAGTGAGGGGGTGTCTGTCTTTTAAAGGGGTCCTTTGCACCTGCGTGCAGACTGTACAATCATGGAACTCTGGGCTGACCAGGGCACTGCCTGAGTGCATTCTGCCAGGTGACAGAGGCAGGCCAGCATAGTGCCTGAATCCTTACACTAACAAGTTATACTGTGAGCTACACACAACTACACACAACACACACACACACACACACACACACACACACACACACACACACTAAATACATAAACACAACAGAGAATAGAAGTAGCTTGGCCGGGTGGCATTGCCTTTAATTCCAGCACTCGGGAGGCAGAGGCAGGTGGATCTCTATGAGTTCGAGGTCAGCCTGGTCTACAAGAGCTAGTTCCAGGACAGCCTCCAAAGCTACACAGAGAAACCCTGTCTCGAAAAACCTCCCAGAAAACCAGCTTGTTCACAGGCAAAAAGGGCTTCTTGGGACTATCTTGTAGAACAACCAGACCCCACTTTTACCTGGACTGTTCAATTACACCAGCCCTCAGCAGTAGCCTCCTACTCTATCTGAATTCAAAGCTCAGTCAGCACCTTGAAGATGAACTTGACATGGATTAAATCTCTTTTCTCTGCTTTTCACCCTTACCCACCTGTTTACTGGGCTGAGATGAGCATGAAATGGTTTGATCCTTCCCTCCCTCCTCCTCTTGATTTTAAATTGCTCAGACTTGACTTCTATATGCCATAGCATCTGTTTCCATAGGGCTTGATGGCGTAACAGGGCTGGTGACATAACTGGTGGTTTACGGTCTGCTTCTGAGTAGCTGGGGTGTGGGTTGGAGGAGGGTGTTGCCCCTGATAAAAACCAGCTTGGATGATATGTGTCCACCGGCACAGACATGACACTCCGCTGTGAAAAAAGACAGTGTATGCGTAACTGTCCTGACAGGAATGAGGGCGTTCTAGAGAGGCACTTGTGTCCCACCCTATGCCTGTCATTCTCTTGAGACAAGGGCTCCCAAGGACCTGGAATTCCCTGTGAATTTCACATGGGGGGAAGAAAAAGGCTGAAGCCTGGTGCCAGCCAGAGGGGGAGTTTGTCTCCCCTGGAAAGGGACTTCACACAGTTGGGACAGCGTAGGAGAGACTTGGTGTTGAGGCATGATGGGTCAGGATGGGGGACCACACCTTGACTAGGGTGGCTCTGCCTGCTTCTTGCGCTGTATTCGAGCACTAAACCTCTTGTCTGGACCTCAAAAGTGGATGTTTAGGTGTGTGTTTGGGGAGGGGGCTGTGTGTGTGTGTGTGTGGTCACAGGACCTCTTTCCTCCTCTTCACAATGTGGCTACATCAACTGCTGTTATGATAAAGGGGAGCCTTGCAGATTCCACGGCAGGTGATGGTGGACGAGGAGGAGGGACAGACACACCAGGCAGACAGAGCTTAAGTGGGAAGTTTATTAGAAAAGGAAAGGGGGGGGGGGTAAAGAGACACAGAGACAGAGAGAGGAGGGAGACAGGAAAAGTCCTGCCTGCCCCAGGCAAACAGCAGGAAGGGGGGGGGGTGTGAGTGGGCGGGGCCTGTCTTTTAAAGGGTTCCTTACACCTACATCTCCTTTTTCTCTGTTACTCACTGCTGTCCCTTTCGTTGATGTTCTGAGGCTGTGCCTAGCTAGTGAGGGCTGCCCTTACCCAGGCTGGTGGCCAGAGTGCCACTCTTGGGCAGAGGGCTCAGCGAGTAAAGTGCTTGTTGCCCAAACCGAATGAGCTGAGTTTGGGGTACCTGCAATTCCGGCACTGGACGGTGGGCACAGGAGGGTGTCAGGCTTGCTGGTCAGCCAGCCTGGCCAACTGGTGAGCTCTGGGATCCGGGAGAGAGTCACACAC